CAACAGACGCGTCTCCCTCGCGTTCCCACCCGCCCTCACGGCGGCCAAGGTCTGCTACACCCCCCCCCTACGTTGGATCAAAACCCCGGTCGATACCGTTCGTCAAGCCATGAAAACTGTTCTTGGATATTCATTTTTTGGCCTCCGTCGCTGGAGAAGATAATAGGTGAAGCTTTCCAGATCCTATGCCACTAATCGCCACGCGTGGAGAGGTACCGTCTTTGACCTCATTAAGGCCGGCTAAATCGGGCACGATAATAGCCATATTAAGTACAAGTATAAATGCACTGGCCTGATGAACATGCTTCGTGTGAGTGTAATAGTCTGCTGAATTCTTCTGCTGGAATCTCCACCGGTCGTGGTTTGTTTGGTGAATTTTCGCGAGGAGCATCTTTTTATGACGAGTAATGGTGTCTTTCCATGACTGTTGGCGACTTAGGCTTCACAAACGAAAGAGTTGGATTTGCCAAACTCTGCAGGACTTAGTAAACACGCGGTACATCACAACTTCTCGGATGTCGTCCTGCACCCCTCAGCTTCTGATTATGTTGACCTTATCCGGGTTCTGTTCTCATCGGCCCAGGCAGAACTAATCGATCCTTTTTAACCTCGATTCCATACAAGGAACGCCCTTCACATCCGAAACCCTCCGTCCTTCGATGTTCACATTGTTTTCCTAACTGTGGCGCACTTCTGCTGAGCTTAATTCACAAGATTTTACTTTTGAGCTCTGATGCGTCAGTTTCACTTTGGTTAATTTCTTCTGGCTCCCAGTCCCCTGTTCAGTGCTTGTTTGTGAGTGCCGTGACTTGGCATGCCATCACACCGACGACTCAAGTATCCGCCATGAGTGACGTCAGCCCACGTCATCATTGCGGTTCTTGTTGCCTGTGACAGGCTGACGGGCTGTTTCAAGCACCCTCTTGTCGCACCTTTCATGACTCCTAGTGGCTACTTCATTTGCGTGCGATGAGCACTTCACATCTGTGGACAATCTGTTTAATTTTCCTTTGCGAAACACTTCTCAAACGCGTGCATGCTTTAATGGATAATTCTCCCCACTGGACTGGTGTTTGCTTCAAGGCGTCTCCCCCTCCCGAGTCTTCCTCCGTTCCAGTCATTGACAACGATGAATAAATCATGGCAAATAGAGGGGGTATACCGTAAATTCCAAATCAATGGGCAGTTGACGCGATCGATGCTGTCAGAAGGCCATTTTGGCGAGACATTTCTCTTATCTCTTCTAACGTTTGCCCATCTTTTAGGCGATCTCTCATGCAGGTATCAGAAATAACCTGTTTTGCATGCGTGCACATCTACACAGCTCAACCAGTTCTCTTCTCCAGCGACGGAAACCGAGTACCGAAGATCCAACAACCGGTTCCATGTATTGTGCTACCAGGATGCGGAGTGCGGAGGTCTGACACAATGTCACAAGTTCCAGTGATGACACCGTGATATTGCGCCCGGAAACGCCGTTTGCGCTTGAGCCAAGGTGTTAGAGGCGGAGACAACCTCGAACAAACAATCCCAGCGGCTTTTGTTAGTGGGGTCCGTCGATTGTGCCAAATCCCCAAGAAACCTCGTGAAAAAATGTCCGACTACTATAAACTGGCATCGTCGGTTTCCCCACGGCCCTTGTTTGAAGTCAATCGAGGAAAGAATTTTAATAGTCGCGACTGCATGAACTGACAACAGACCATAGCAGGGTCTGGTTGTTATCGAAAGCGTGAACCCGTCAGAGTATTACATTATGATGCTTTTTGCCATTGCGTCAAGCCGCATTGGTGCTGCTACTGCTAGGTGTAGCTTACTAGTGTCCCTATTAAAGCTCCCTCTATTATGCCATAGTTTTGACATCTCATAAAGTGTAAACCAAAATTTCCTGAAATGTGTTTCGATTCGAAAAAAAATTGGTTAAATAAGGTTCTTATATTATTCACCATTAAGCGAAAATATCTCAGCCACATCGGGATACATTCTATGCATTCTTGGTAGCAAATTACATCTTCACATTTTATAGTTTAAAAAAAAAACGTAGAATTGTCGAATAATTTCGAACCCTACCGTTCCTTAGATTAACATTTAGGTTTTGCAGACTACATGCAGCATACTGTCCGTCTAAGTGGAATCATACCTTTTTCTAAGCCATGAGGAAGTCGTCGCATAGTGCTCATACAATTTTGCGTTGGATGTGAACCATGTCGTATGGGTAAAAAGCAGCATTACTAAGTGGACAGGTACGGCACTCAATGAATTGCTATTTCATGGCTTTGAAGAATCTCATTATTAGAAACTTTTAAAACCAAAAATACCCCTGCTTCAGGCAAAAAATGCAGAAGACATACTTTTCCACCACATGAGTCTAACAGTAAGGTTGTCGTGCATCTTTTCAATAACATGCCCAAATGTATAGGAGCATCAAAAATCAAGGGGAAAAAGACATGCTACTTAAGTAGTCAGTTCTTACGGAGTGTAATTTTTGCAAACTGCCCAAAAAGGAGCTTGATCAAAAGCGAGTATCCTGGTGTGACTGAGTTATCTCGTGATTAGGTTTCACGGTAATTACTCCTACAGCCGAAATTGAGTGACACTTTCGAAAGGAAAACGCATTTCAGAATTTCGGTTGAGGTTTCCTGAGATATCATGTCTACTACACTACACCAAAGTCCAGTTGTTAAAGATTCCTTATATGTAACACTATGTAGTTTACTTTACATTACTTAGTACTTATTTCGTTGCAATAAGCCTCTCACCAATCCATTGCACTCCCTACACGAAAATCCTCATCACTTTGTTGTTACTTCTAGTTTTCTTAGTGGCGTGATCTCCCGGCAGTTATGGCCAGCTAGTCGATTAACTGTGGTCATTCAAGTTAACTGGGCTCCGCTGCGCCAAGTCCTCCTTTCTTATCCCACTTAGGTGCGCTCTGCACTCTGCTTGTGTCTAGTTCGCACACACGTGCGCCGCTTGCTATCAAAGAGGTTATTCCGATGGCCGAACAAGAGACGGCCCCCGCATCGATCTTTTGTTTTTCACGGTCTTAATAGCAGCCGCCTGTAGCTCAAATTAATACGGGGATAGGCCTCGGGTTCTGACTTGTTCAACTGCTTTTGATGATGGGGTGAGAAGGGGGTGACTGTATTATTGGTCTAAACGGTTCTGAGAGGAAGGCAGACTTACGTTGCGGACTTCTTGTTTCCTATTGGTTGTATTTCTCATTTTAATTATCGCGCGCCAAACTTTAGGTTGCTTAAATAATTATTCCTATTTTCTTACTAACACTATGTTTTTATTCTTTATCCCCTGATACGATCCACCCATGTAACCTCTTTTACCACCGGCCCTGCATTACACAAACGAGGGATTTTCTGTTACTGCGGTGTTTCTTATAAGAAATCATTGCCGTCCAGTTTGTGCCAATTTTGACAATACCTCCAATATTTGTACTCGTCAACTCGACTTCTGGCGGGCAACGCGTGACCCCTCCCCCTCCCCTTTGCTGCAGTTTATATATGCTCTCACTCTTTGTGCTTTATTTTCTACTGCTCCAGCTTTGCTTCAGCAACGAGTTCTCCTCCTTCACCCACAAAATTGTCTACTTCTCCTGGGAGACGCCGGAAGATGCTGCCAAGGCAGACGCTGCCGAGACTGTTGCGCCGCTTACACAGGTAAAAAAAGCCGGTTCATTTTTTTGCCCAACTTCCCTGTAACTACTGGGAACCCTGTGTCTTAAAGTGGAATCTACAAGGCGGCTCTTGCTATTGCCTCCCCCCTTCCTACCCGGTGGAGTAGCGAAAATGCGGTCCGAATGAGAACTCTTCATATCCACGCTGCTACTAGCGATAACTCCCCTTCCTGTTGTAGTCAGCTGTCGCTGTTATTGTGAGACTGTACTCTATCTATGGAAAACTTCGTTTGTATATGTACTCGAAATACTCGTTAAGAGTCACTTCGGTAACCGCGGAACGGAGGACTAAAGAGGGTTGGGGGTGCGAGTGCGCAATTCCCACAAAGTCCTTCGAGATCATTCCGTCAATCAGACCTTGTGTGCCGTACTGGCGTTGCCTGAGTCTGTACGTAGACTCCCCTGGTTTCCCCGACTTCTTCGTTACACTCTTCACCTCGTCTTAGCTCAGTTTCCGAAGAAATAGCACGGCTAATAGATCAGTACGCGCGCGTTTCTCTTGTCACGAGCGCTCGGTGTTGCTTGTTGAATCTATATTGTCTATTTGGAAGCGCTCAGGATGTTGTATAGATAAACAATGAGGATGTCCTTGGTGTCCTCTTTGAATCAGATGAACAGCTGTCTCCAGCTGTTGACAACAACAGCACTTCTAATGTTGGGAATGCTTCTATTCCCACTGTGAGTCATCCCA